AAAGAAATTTAAACAGGCATGATTTAATAGCTCCTAATGCACCATTAGTGATTTATTAGCCTGAAGATCTGAATTAAGAGAGCCCAAGAAAGCCTTTTATTGGGTTAGCCACAAAATTAATCCAAAATTGCAGTGGGAAAACAAAAATAAAAATCACTGTCTACAGACACTAGCCACTTTCCAGAACACAATAAATATTACTACTTGGCTGGATCATGCATATACACCAATGCTTAAATTTTTGTAACAAAAAGGACTGTCTGGGGGCCAAATCCCAAGCCAGATGTTATTTGAGTTGAACAGCCACATCACTTTAAATAAACATTCCTGCAAGTCCCAGACTATTAGGTGTAATATATTAGCTGGTCATAGGCAGAGGTATGCATCAGCTCCAATTTTCACCATCCACTGCCTATTGGAACAGCAGCCCCACATCCCAAGTAATGATGGAGGAGGAGATTTGGGATGAGGACCCACCTAAATCTTGTCCCAATGAGAGTACTGCCTTGCCCTCATCGAAGTGGGAACAGTAATGCTATGAAGAGTAATGCCAGCAGAATGAACATGTGGGGGGAGGTAATGTCTCATGTCTCGCAGGCCAGTATTAACATAAAGTAAGCCAACTTTAAAAGGTTATTAAACTAGGGTTGCAATATAAAAAAAAAAGCCACGAATACACAAAACTAGCATTTCTAGGCTGATACTTTATAGAAATAACTGAAACTCACTTGGAACAAATTTGCTGTCTCATTTCATCTTGGTTTCCAATTTATGGTTGAAACCAGGAGACCTCCACTTGATTGTCAACATTTGCTTCATCTTCAACACTTACTCAGGGGGGAAAAAATGTATGGACCTAGTTTGAAACGAGAATGTATCAGAAAAATGTAACATTCGTAATGTCTTTAAAGTGAATGGGTACACAAGACAACCATAGCTTAGAACCCAAAGCTGTTAATCTGGGATGTGTCAGCTGTGCATACTGTACGACAGCCTACCAAAAGAAGTGTGTGGTCATTACTATAATCTAAAAATTTGCTAGCAATCTACAAAATATTATTGTAGCTAGGGTCCTATGAAGGTGCAATTTCTGGATACCTTATGTGCTCATTCCACACCCTCAAACATTCTGCACAGAGATATTTGTGTACCAATTTTTCTACTCATAAAAACTCCCAATTTACAAAATTATAAATGGCAGTAGCTCTGAATTATTAAAGCATACCTAAATTTATTTGAAAGATGCCTCATAAGCCTTGAAGTTGCAAGTGACAAGAACCAGTTCCAGACAGAAGTGGATGATAAAAAAAATAAGATCAAAAGTCACAGAGGGCATTAGATAAGAAGTTTACACACTGCTCAGCAACATACTAGAGTGGTGGGCCAACATTTTTTTTTTTTTTTTGATCTGACAGGACTGCATAATCATGTGTTTTGTCAGACAACAAAAACTGAGAAGCTCTTTAAGAATCTGGCAAAAGAAAAAGGATGTTAAGAATTTCTTTGTAGAGCTTATTAAAAAAAAAAATGATTGGCCCTGCATCTTCAAACTCAACATACTTCCTGATGAAAAAGTCACGATCATTAGGTGGAAGTTTTAAGAAGTACAGTGTGCTTACGATCAACCAAAAAGAATCAAAATGCAGTTTTCTGATGTCAAATCTACTTTGATGCTAAACACCTTTGTTTCTCAGCAGACCACTTACTTTTTAGTGCCTTGGGTCATCATACAAGCTTCCTCAGCAAAAATCCTGATGTGTAATCTAAAGAAAGCAACTTGCAGTCAGGTTATGAAAGCTGAAAACGTCTTCTCAAAGTTGTATCTGAACACAAAGTACTTTCTGTAGTCACATAAATCAACTGCTGTTTATCAAATTAAAAAAAAAAAAAAAAGGGGGATGCATTTAAGGCTGCAACACTAGTTTCAAAGTGTGGCCATAGTCAAGTCTTAACAAAAACATTCAGTCAAAACTTTTAGAGATGTCGGATAATGTATGTGACTTTAGGAATGGTCAGACAAATGGCTACCAGAATTTAACCCAAGCAAAGTTATGATGCATGGGGACTGGAAAGGGAGACCAGAGATAGTACTTAACAGCCATTATCTAAAACCTGTCCCATTAATTGCATATAGAATAAAATCAGCAGTACAGGCTAAGCTTGTAAACCCAGGTTAAACAGTCAGCAACCTAGACAAAGATTCATTCACAGCATTTTTTAACATCATGCATATACCATTTTTTAGGTATGCAGTGCTAAGATGGAACCCTCCTCAAGCAAAACAAAAACTGAAATTTCAGAAAGTACAAAAAAATATAAAAAGGCATGCCTGAAATGCTGGAGCTATGGAGAAAGAATGCAGGAACTAGGACTTATAGCACTGGAGTGAAAAAGAAGTCAGAATATAATCACTACAGCACTTATAAGACTACTAAAGGGCATAGACAGGGCAAACAATGACTCATCACCAGTTATGTTAGTTACTCATCACCAGGGATGCAATAATAACATGGGGGGGTATGCTTAAAAATTACACAACCAAATATGCCATGAGAATACTGTCTCAGGAAAGATTTCAACACAAATGAGGTAAAGAAGTGAATGAGCTGAGCAGTAACACCTGTAACAAACTCTATGGGGGTCAAAAAACAAAAGAGTACCCAATCACACTGGCTGGTGAAAAATTAAAAGGCAGGACAAAGAGCTTGAGATCACCCCTGAAAAATCATATACGCTAAATTTTTACGACAATTTTCAAGAGTTCAAAGGCATCAATAAATAATGACTGATTACTGTGCAACTCCAAATAAGGACTACTTTTGTCTACTATTTGTCTATAAATAGAACCCCAAATGTGAAAAACAAATCCAAGACAGGTTTCAGAAGCTGTGTTCGAACTCCAAAGATGAAATGCAAGTAATGTGCAGAGAAGACACAACTATCCACAGTAATGACTGGTGTAAGTTTTGCAACCACATATGAATGCTGAATGAAGCTTTAGCCACTTGAACTGGGAACACGACCAAGGCCAGACTTTGTTCTTTCTTGGTATGTTACAGCTGTTGCTAGTTACAGTATTATTAGTCATGAGTAAACATTGAACCTGTAGGGGTCATATAGAGCCTGGTCATGGGACATGCTCAGACTGGATTGAAGTGATGGTTAGCTTCAATTCCTTGAATCAAGAGCCCTTTGCCAGCATCAATGCAGCCCTCAGTGTATTTTGGAAAAGAATACTATCCCAGGGAGAACATTCAAACCCCTACAAGAATTTTCCATTTTTTAAGGGAACCAAGGAGCACCTAACACCAGTACTGGGTGGAAAAGCGCCTAAATAAAATACTGCATAAAAAAATGTGAAGTGCATATCTGATGTGAATCATACAGCATATGGAGTGGTGGAGGCTCAATATTCTGCCCTCTCAATATAGCTAAAATTTCTAGTTTAAAGCTATGTTACTATATTCCTCCCCAGCAGTTAAACAATGAAATAAGAAAAGCACAGCTTACATGGCACTGCTTTTACATGATATCACATTAAGTTGTGTGTTTTTTTCAAACATGTTACAGTTGAGTGTGTACATAAGAATACTACTGTACTGTTTCGAAAATGGATACAGTGATAATGTGATAACCTAATGTAGTTTTGTTATATTACAGAAATATTATAGATTAATGTCCCAATTCCTCAGTTACACATACAAATACACCAGATAAGTTTACAACAAAAGACTTCTGGGTTCGTTACAACTTCATGGACACCATTAATGATGCCAATGACTTAATAGTCACTTCTGCCATAGTGAGATCTGCATTAAAAAATATACCTGTAATGTACCTGTGACCAGTTTCTAAAGCCTTTCTTCTACAGCCGTCTGACCCCAGCCTGGGGCCAGGCTTGTCTATTCCTTGATGAGATGCTTGTGAAACATTTGGGAATCTTCATTACGGAAACGCTTCACCAGCCAGTGGCTTCTTCAGTCTATTACAGAGAAGAACAGTGGAAGATGAGGAATTAGAGGAAACCAGTCCCTCATATACTGAGTACCTCACTGAATGTTCACGTATGCTGAAACCAACCTGAACGTTTAATGGCGTTCATCTGAACTCTCATTTTTTATATACATGTATTTTATTTTTTTTTTTATTATCACACTGGCCAATTCCCCACCAAGGCAGGGTGGCCAGAAAAAGAAAAACTTTCACCATCATTCACTCCATCACTGTCTTGCCAGAAGGGTGCTTTGCATTACAGTTTTTAAACTGCAACATTAACACCCCTCCTTCAGAGAGCAGGCACTGTACTTCCCATCTCCAGGACTCAAGTCCGGCCTGCTGGTTTCCCTGAACCTCTTCATAAATGTTATTTTGGGCTCAAAACTCCAACAGCACGTCAAATATTAAAAACCATTTGTCTCCATTCACTCCTATAAACACGCTCACGCATGCCTGCTGGAAGTCCAAGCCCCACGTACACAAAACCACCTTTAACCCACTCCACCCAACACATTGCCCCCCGACATGACATCTCCACTGCTTCCCAGCCTTCCCCTCGTTTGCAACATTCATCCCCATGCTTCACACCCATATAAGAGCATTGTATTTAGTGTAACCCAAATTTATTACATATAGCATTCACAATTTTATATGCTAAATCTTCCTCAAAATGCTTTATACACAAGGGCTTTACAATCATTAACCATTAAAAGGTACTACCATGTAGCTTGGCCAGTTACCAGATTTCCTAGTGACTACTTGATCAGTCAGGCTATTGCTACCTGCGATTGCAGACTTACACAGCCATCACAGCCTGGCTGATCATGCACCTCCTACAGAAACTCCAAACAGTAAATATCCAAAACCCCAGATGGTAGAAGGCTGAAGAGTCTTAGACCTCTGATATTCAGTGTTTTAATTGCACGTAAAGAGCCCATGGATTATTTATGTAATACACACAAGGTTCCTGTGAAAAAAATATTTAATTAAACCATTAAGCTTACCGTACGTAAATATGATTGCCTGACAGAATCAGCATGCAAAGAGTGTGAAGAAAACACTTCATCATATTTCATACAACTGTTTAACATATTCATATTCCCCAAGGGGGGTGTCTCCTGACAAGTAGTCGTCCACTTTCCTCGAACCTGATAAAAGAAACACATTAGTTTTAAATTTCGTTTTGATACAGAATGGCAAATGTATATTTAAAAAAAAAAAAAAAATACTGTGCTATATATTTTTTTTTACCCCCCTTCCCCCACAAACAAAAAAAAAATTAGGAAAGCTGCAAAATTTTCAAAATATCTGCCAACTCCTCACAAATTAAAAAAATTGAGTACAATTGTTTTAAAACATGTATTTGCTCTTGGGCTTGTAAAACAATGACTACTGAATGTGTAGTGTAAAAATCATAATGAATGATAAATAAATAAACACACTTTTTCAGTAAACAGCCAATTAACTCATTTCTGAGTAACAATATCCACAATTTTTTGTTGACTGACAGTATTTATGTGTAAAAGCATACAAAGGGAATGTTTCTTGAAGTTCCCCCTAGTAATATTTGAAGTTTTTTTCACTCCCAATACGTGCCTCAATAATAATAAGAACAATAAATTTGCAATTTATTGTTCTTACTATTTATTTTTGCAAAGCCTTTTATAGATGGAATAATGAAAATGTATTTTTTTTAACACGTTGGCTGTCTCCCACCAAGGCAAGGTGATCCACTTTCACCATCATTCACACATAATCAGTCTTTGCACAGGTGCCCAGATATGACAGTTCAGGTGTCACTCCAAACAGAATTATAGAGAAATGAGACATGGACAAAAATGCTGCCAGATTTTAGGACTATTTTTCAGTAAACTTAATTAATTTTTTTTTTCAATTGTTATGAATATGGACTACCAAAGAGCGATACCAATCCCCTAACAATGACTGGACAGAAGCACACCTCTGCACCTGTAGTTGCAAGCATAATTGTACAGGTAATTACTAACCTAAGCAACCTAATAACCAATGCGGTAAGGTAAGTTCTCTTGGATATGCACTAGATGTTGATATTCTGGCAAACATCAAGTGTAGGTGTTAACATCTTGGTGTCATACATTAATTCTTATTTTGGCAGTGCCAATGACTGGTAAGGAGGTGTGGTCTACATTCTCAAATTCTTCTACCCTTGCAGACCATCCTGAAGCCAAACTTCCTTGTCAATGGCCCAAAGATAAATAGCCATCACAACCTACCTGGTTCAGCACTTATAAGCAGCAGTCCAGTAACAGATCGTAAAATTTTAATGAGATCATAAAGGAAACAGCAACCAGAAGATTCTTTATTGGATAAGTATGCCCAGAGGCTTGTGAGGGATTTCCCAGGAAAACAAGTAAAATAGCTGTGAAGAAACAAATGGATAGATAGGGCTTACCTTGAGAATGTAGTCTCCAGATTCACCAGGAAGTTCCAAGGTACAAACAGTGTGCATCACCACATGTTCCACACTAGAGTCCACTGCAGTGAAAGAACAAGATTTCTTTACCAAATAGGAAATATACTTTAAGAGGCTAATAAAATGTCCAGATATTTTGGAGCTTGGATAAAAAGGGGTCACTGAACATCTGCAATAGAAGGCCCTAGGTGTGTGTACCAATAAGTAAACTATACATTATGTACAGTTATGGTATGCAGTTAGGCAGTCCCAATGTCAGAGGCATTATGGGAATGTAGCAAAGCAATGAAGAAGTGTGGCACAGCCTGTTGTGCAGGCAAAAGATTCCCAGGTGCTACACATTGGTCTTACTCATCAACTTGTCAGGGTTTCATACTTTTGATGCTATGATACTTGTCTGATAGAGCAACACAATGGAGTCTTGGTACCGCTTCTAAGATTATTTTTTTTAACGCATTGGCCATCTCCCACCACGGCAGGGTGACTCAACAAAGAAAAACACTTTCATCATCATGCACACATAATCACAGTCTTTGCAGAAGCACCCAGATACAACAGCTCAGATGTCACTGCAAACACCCAATATCCCAAACCCCTTCTATAAAGTGAAGGCATTGTACTTCCTACCTCCAGGATTCAAGTCCATTAAATAAATATATTGTAGTCTATTAATATGTGGCCATATAGTAAATGTTCAAGACACTCACAAGTGGTGAGAAAGTTTGTTATGAAGCAAAAATATTCCTTCAGGAAAGTGATACTGTATACCTGTGACCCATTTCAAGAATTCTTCTACCCCTGTAGCCTGGCCCGAGGCTAGGTTTTCTTATTGCCTACCTGATCAATCGGGCAATTGCTACTGGTTGATCAGACACTTTCAGCAGATAGTTGTTCAGTTTCCTCTTGTAAACTTCTACTTTTGTTATGGCAATACATGTTTCAATAGCTACTGATAGGTATATATTTAAATAATGAACTTAATAAACAAAATTCTAAAGATTACATGTATAGAATCAAACATAATTCACAAAACTACACTATTTTTAATTTTACAGAACTGTATAGGAAGATGACTAATGGCTGAGGCAGCTGAAATGATATCCGTCTTCCCGCAGATTGCCAATAAGTAGTAGTTGCTAACTTGCCCCATTTCATGAAAGGAGAAATTTTGGCCCTCGAATCCTTAAAAGCATATTAACTAGAGAATCTATTAATTAACCCTTTGAGGGTTTTCGTCGTACTAGTACGTCTTACGCGTAGGGGTTTTTGACGTACTAGTACTCATAAATTCTAGCGACCTCAAATCTAGTGGGAGAAAGCTGGTAGGCCTTCATATGAAAGAATGGGTCTATGTGGTCAGTGTGCACAGTCTAAAAAAAATCCTGCAGCACACGGTGCATAATGAGAAAAAAAAAACTTCCATTTTTTTTTAATAAATCAGCGACTTTGCAGTGTATTTTCGTATAGTATTTATTGTTGTATTCTAGTTTTCTTGGTCCATTTTATAGAATGGAAGACATATTACTGAAATTGAGATGATTTTGACTGTTTTACAATGAAGGTGCCTTGAAATTGAGCTCAAAGTAGCAGAAATGTTCGATTTTTACCAAACTTCAAAAGTAAACAAATCGTGCCAAGCGTGCAATCACGTCAACTGGTGAGGTCTAATATTCTTTCACAAGTGCACCAATAATATTTATACCATTTTTTACACTAATGCAGTAGTCTGCATAACAGTAAATCTTATATTTTTTGTGAGAATAAAAATTCAAAGTGGAAAGCAAAAGAATATAAGAGGGGCCTTGAGACGTGACTAATGACTAGAGGAAATGTCATTTTAGTGCCAGGAATGTCTTTCTTGTTTATTCTGGACCCTATTCCGAAATTGGCATCTTTTGAAATTTGTGTGAAATTGGCAAAATTGCTAAATTCTGACCACTGTACTGGATAGTTGAATTTATAAATGGGTGGTTTCTTGCACCCATTCGATAGAAAAAATGGAGTTCTAGCGAAATATTCATGTTTTTTGTCGACTAGTACAGCGAAATTGGCCGAAAATGGGGCTCAAAGTGGGCAAAATCGCCGATCCGTAAACATCGCCGAGACCGCTAACTTTGCGAGAGCATAATTCCGTAAGTTTTCTATCAAATTTCAAACTTTTGGTGTCGTTATGATCGGGAAAAGATTCTCTATCTTTTCATAAGAGAAAATAATTTTTTTTTTTAAATTTGGCCGACCCTGAGAACGAGTTTCGGAGAGGGCCTGTCGACCCTCAAAGGGTTAAAAAAAGGCTGTTAAAGTTCAGACTATGAAGACTAAATTTCCATAAATTAATGGAACTATGAATTTAATTCTCCAACTACTAATAAAACTTAATGAAAAATATTTATTAGTTCATAACTTACAATTAAATAATTAAGAATATGATTCTCACACTTCCATCAACTTGTAAATGATTTGTTAATCTTAGGTAATTTAAAAACAAGTACAAGTAGAGAAAACTATCTCAATGTTACTCTACTTACACAAATTCAGTTAGAATTGTATTCAAAGATTACAGTGTACTAGAATTAGCAGTGAGATGATAAATAAGTATTATTTTTTATTTTATCAACACATCAGCCATTTCCCACCAAGGTAGGGCGACCCAAAAAAGAAAAACTTTCACCATCACTCACTCCATCACTGTCTTGCCAGAGGTGCACTTACACTATGGTTATAAAACTGCAACATCAACACCCCTCCTTCAGAGTGCCGGCACTCTGAAGGAGGGATGTTAAAATATGAACTGATATTTCAATGATCACATAGGCCAATTCCTAAACAAAGGTGCAAATAATTACTCACGGCTGCAGGTGAATGTGGCAGACTGTTTATCTTGGTAATGCACTGAGAGTTTACAACTGAGAGAGGGATCAACAGTTCCTTCCAAACAGGCACTGTGCAGCAAACCTGGGTTTCCTATGTGATCATTCCAAGTATACTCTCCTGCAATAAGTATACCATTAGTCAAAATAAATTAAATCTGCACTGCAAGTGAAACACCTATGAAAAGGCAAAACTGCATTTATGAAGATGAAACTTGACTGAAAGAAACGGGGAAAAGAAATGGGTAGTTTATACTTAAATACCTATTGGTATAATGTGGTGCACTTATGCTTTTGGATATTTGCTGCAATGTCTTAATTTTTTCTTCACATGCAGTACTTCTGTTTAGAAAACTATATAGCATGTTTTCAGATTTATGTATTAATATGCTAACTTTTTCTCTCTTACTACTCTCTCTACATCATCATTCCACCAATCGCTTTTCTTCCCTCCTGCACCCTCTTTTCTGTAACCACAAACTTCTATATTCTTAAACTTACCCCATACATCTTCAACCCCACTGCCTATACTCACACTATCCCATCTGTCCTCCAACAGTTGTTTATATCTTACCCTAACTGCCTCCTCCTTTAGTTTATAAATCTTCACCTCTCTCTTACTTGCTGCTTCCATTTTCCTTGTATCCCATCTACCTTGTACTCTCACTGTAGCTACAACTAAAACGTGATCTGATATATCTGTGGCCCCTCTATAAACATGTACATCCTAATGTCTACCCAACAGTCTTTTATCTACCAATATGTAATCCAACAAACTACTGTCATTATGCCCTATATCATATCTTGTATACTTATTTATCCTCTTTTTCTTAAAATATGTGTTACCTATAACCAAACCCCTTTCTATACAAAGTTCAATCAAATGCTCCCCATTATCATTTACACCTGGCACCCCAAACTTACCTACCACACCTTCTCTAAATGCTTCTCCTACTTTAGCATTTGTACAAGTGCTTGTAGAAATAAAGATGATGATCTTTCTATCAACACACAAGTGCTACTACTGGAATAAATAAATTAGCTTTGCTCCTGTAGCCCTAAATTGGTAAATACAATCTAAAAAATGCATAAGGCATACCAAGCAACAAACTATAGTAATAAAGTCCTCTGTACATCAGAGTACCATTCTTACATGATCAATAAATTTATATGTACATAAAAAAAAATTAGCCAGATTCTACAAGTCAAAAACCTTTAATATAGGCTTTAATACTAGTGGTGTTATTGAACTACTACTATTACATATTAATCATATAATTGTCTTGCACAGTAGCTCAGGATATATTCATGGCAAAATTATAAAGCTGCAAGTTTCTGCTAGTTTCAGAGTACAGACTGTATTCAGATCAATCTTTAAAATAGAATGCTATAATTTATCTTCAGCTACCAAACATTTTTTATATTATTAGCTGTAGGAAACCTGGCCTGAGACTAGGCTAAGATTAGACCAATTCTCACAACCAGATACAGGCAGGCCCTACTTTACAGTGATTCACTTTATGTTGTTTCACTAATACAGCAGTTTTCAATTACACCCATTCTTCATTTATTCAGACTTCCTACAGTAAATATATTCACCACTCTGACTCATGAAATCATAATGACATAATTGCAAGCAAACCATACCATGGGCAGGGCTTGAACCCGCGGTCAGTTGTGTCTGGAGTTTCACGACTCTCTGACTGCGGGTTCAAGCCCTGCTCGTGATATGGTTTATATTCACCATTCACTATAAACTAAGGACAAAAATATTTCAAGGGAAGTAATGTGTGTACTGTATATACATTTTTTAGGTCTAGCTCTATAGCTCACTTAATATAAAATACAGTAGACCCTCATATTACAAGGTGGTTACGTTCCTCAAAATGAAGTGAGAGATGAATCCGTGTTACATAAACTGAAGAACTTATGGGAAAATAGGCTTACATTCCTGGGATCACCCCAAAAGCCAAACAAATTTTTTTTAGACATCCAGATCCTACAAAAATAAAAATAATAATGTTTTTGCTGCTTAAGACTACAAATGCAACAGAAATATTATTATTTACCTTAAATTGTGGTTGCTGGTATATGTCAGTCATTGTTAAGAGAGTGGAGATGCATGGTGTGGCCCTACTAGGCTGAGGTGGATGGCTGATGGTTGCTGGCAGAAGTGGATGGTTGAGGTTCTGGTACTAAAGTCGGTGGTTGTAATGGAGTGTGCATAAACTCTAGCTTCTTTTACCCTGCAGTACATTATGTACCTTATTCCAGAAGCTTGGTACTGCCAGGCTGGAGTCAGAGTCCACTGATGCAACTAGTTTTTTCATCACTGTCTTGTGTAGTGACACTTGCATGACTTAACTCCCCGATCCAGTGGTTGTATTGAAGATGTTGTATTTGGAGGTAAAAATACAACTTTTACATGTGGGGTCACATCCAGCAAAGTTTCTGGATGAGTAAGGGAATTATCAAGAATGAAGAGAGCCTTGAATGCAAGGTTCTTGTTGTGCAGGTAAAACATGACTTCAGTCAATAAATATTTCCTCTGTCATCCATGCAGACTGGTTTGACCTCCAAATTACTGGTAAGGTGTTTTTATCTACACCTTTCAAAGCAAAAGGAGCAGTAAATAACCATGGGTTTACACTTGAAATCACCTGGTGCATTACCGCAAGGAGCAAGGTGAAGCAATCCTTTGCTGCCCTGAAGCCTGGTGCAGCCCTGCAGAGACAGTGGTCTCACTCATAGCCAGGCAGTGGCCTGAGCGAGGGAAATATCCCACGGGCAACACTCCAGATTCCCCCCCCCCTCAAATTGAACCGTGTTAAGTTAATTTAATGAAGTGTTGTATAAAATTATACAGCAATTTTTCAATAGTGTAATAACCAAAACGTTCCAAATAAATCCATGTAATATAAGGGTCTACTGTAGTCTAAACATATTATAAGACTTTTATATGCATTTGAAAGTGAAAAAAGCTACAATTTATTTTACAGCGATTTTCGCTTTCCAGCAGCAGCCCGGAACCTAACCTGATGTAAAAGTGGGACCCTCCTGTACAGTAGTTAAAAACCAATGGTAAAAATATATACTAGCAAACTATTATATCTTGAAAAGCATTATAGGGCTGATTTTTCAATCAACACCATCAAAGTGATGATAGCTGAACACAAAACAAACAAAAATTCATGAAATATTTCAAAATATTTTAGAAAGACATGGATACAGACTTATCTAAGAGCAAAAGATAAACAAAACAGGCACCATAAATGTGACTTTGCCAAAGTAGAATGCTATATTCTAAGGAAATGTAGAAAATATATATTGAGTTAACTCCTACCTCTTCGTTTCTTGATGCAGTTCCAGAAAGCTCTTGCTTCATCATCTGCACTAAGTGCAGGGATCTTGCGTACATGTACCTGACTAGTACTGGCCCTTCCATCAAATGAGACACCAGATCGTTTCTGAAACATATAAACACACTAAAGTACAGTATGCTGTTCTTAAGAGTATTTCTTGAATTATCATTCCCATAACCAATTTATATAGCACATGCATAATGAAGACAACCTTCTCCATCCAAGTAAATATTCTGCCACACATTTAATGGAACTTTGCCATGATTTAACGATGGTCAGCAACAGATCATAAGAACAATTCTCGAATCAGCAGGAAAGCTTAATGGATGAAGCAACCAGGAGATAGCCCTACCAGGTAAGAAAGCAGTACTCCAGCTGTAAATGAAAGTGGAACACCACCAGAAACTGCCAGAAATAAAGCAAGTGACATCAATAAATTAACTGACATCAAGGGGGATACCTGTTGCAGAAAAAATAACTGGATAAGCAGGACCACCTGTAACAAGATTAATCTGCAAACAAACCACAAAGCACTGGTTCACAAGCTCACATTTCACCTATCCAGGTATCAGTGCTGCAGCTCTGAAAGTGCTTTCCTCTAATTTATGCAAAATCACAGTATTCCATCAGCCTGAGACAGTCACTATTTACCATTACCTAGTCAGGGGAGTGAACACATGAGAAGCCAGCCCATCAGCATACTGTCACCAACAATCCAGCAAAACACTCACTGTCTTGACATGACTCGTATAAGAAACATTCCTAGATGAAAGGACTTTGACAAGTTTGATGGTTATACCTAATGGATGCAGTGTAATAGGAGTGGGATATGAATCTGTTGCACTGTGCTTCATTTTTTATAAAATAATTAATTTTTCATTTTTGCATATAAATAAAATATACTGACAATTACCTTTACATTTTTTCCTTTGCATTCAAGAGAAGAATATGTACACTCAAATGACGGTTGTGTTGTAGCTGCACAAATTTCATTGCACATGCAGGTTTCAACCTTACTCACTTCATCATCATCATCATCATCACTAATATTAATGCTTCCATCATAGTAAATCATGTACCAGTGACTCTCTGATTTACGAGTTTTGATCTCAAAACTGACATCATAATCACCTACTTTGTCTTTAAGAAAGTTCGCAATATTTTCTGTAATTTCAACTTTATGTGAATCTTCGACAGCTCTACTCTCATGTTGCTTGCTGCCTTGCTGTGTGTGTAGAGGTAAGGATTCAGCACTACCAATATCAGGTGGGAGGCAATAGAAGGTGCTTCGCCTCTTCCCGGGTTTTTTGGTTTTCCTGTCTGGAGGCTTTTCAGAGGTGTTACTGACCTCTTCTTTTGTTTGAACTTGAACCATAATTAAGGTATTACAACCAAATAAAAATTAGTTTTTCACCATTAATTCTAAATTATAATCTAAGAACAGCCAATAAATTAAGTATTGTTTTATCAGCACCAAGAACATGCAAGAGCAACAAGGTAATACTAAAATATAACAGTAGTAACATCCCTGGTTACTGCAGGCATCTTATCTGTTTTACTCCCACAAAAGATAAAATTGTCAACCATGATAAAACAATAAAATCTAATGATAAACTTATCTAACAACTCATGTGTTTTGATAACAATGTACAAACAGATACACAGACCAGTACTATTTATACCAATTATCTGGTAATGGCTCTAGGAATGAATACTTTTGCCCTGAGTGACTAGTCTCAGACCAGACTTCCTAAATTAGAAAAAAAATATTGCATGAACCAGAATTACAATGTTCCATTAAGAATCATGCAGGAAAGTAAAGTGCAAACTGAATATAAAAAGATATTTTTATGACATGCTGTTGGAGTGTGAGCAAGGTAACACTCATGAAGGGATTCTGGGAAACCAGTTAACCAGACTGAAGTCCTGGAGGTGGGAAGTACAGTGCCTACACTCTAAAGGAGAGGTAATATGTTGCAGTTTTTGAACTCTGGTATCAACACACCTCTGGAAAGATAGTGATGTAGTAAGTGATGGTGAAAGCATTTCTTCTTTATCGGGTCACCCTGCCTTGGTGGGAAATGGCTGATGTGTTAAAAAAAAAATTTATATGCCCATCATATTTATATACAGTACTGTCCTAGAGTGCAAAACATTTAATAGGCTTCCATTTACATGACAGGACAGGTGAATATTGTACCTATCTCAATGGTTTCTATATAAAAATAGATCTTTCTTTATCTTTCTTCTTTCAACACACCAGCCGTATCCCACCAAGGCAGGATGGCCCAAAAAGAAAAACAAAAGTTTCTCTTTTTAAATTTAGTAATTTATATGGGAGAAGGGGTTACTAGCCCCTTGCTCCTGGCATTTCAGTCGCCTTTTACAACGCGCATGGCTTACGGAGGAAGAATTCTGTTCCACTTCCCCATGGAGATAAGAGGAAATAAACAAGAACAAGAACTAGAAAGAAAATAGAAGAAAACCCGGAGGGGTGTGTATACATATGCTTGTACATGTATGTGTAGTGTGACCTAAGTGTAAGTAGAAGTAGCAAGACATACCTGAAATCTTGCATGTTTATGAGACAGAAAAAATGACACCAGCAATCTTGCCATCATGTAAAACAATTACAGGCTTTCGTTTTACACTCACTTGGCAGGATGGTAGTATCTCCCTGGGCGGTTGCTGTCTACCAACCTACTACCTAGGAAATAAATAAATACATACATAAATGAAAATATAAACATATCATTAACCCCTTTTTCCCCGTATAGCCTACTAAAAAGAAAAAGAAAACCATCATAAGAACATAAGAAAGAAGGAACACTGCAATAGGCCTACTGCCCCATGCGAAGCAGGTCCATGCCACCCCCCGGCCTAGAACAATGACCACCTAGTCAGGTCACTTCCACTTAACCCTTTCAGGGTTTCAGCCGTACTAGTACGGCATACGCACCAGGGTCTTAGACGTACTATTACTCAAATTCTAGCGCCTTCAAATCTAGTGAGAGAAAGCTGGTAGGCCTACATATGAAAGAATGGGTCTATGTGGTCAGTGTGCGCTATAAAAAAAAAAATCCTGCAGCACACAGTGCATGAGAAAAAAAAAACTTTGACTGTGTTTTTGGATTAAAACAGAAATTGAGATGATTTTGACTGGTTTTACAATGAAAAGTACCTTGAAATTGAGCTCAAAGTAGCAGAAATGTTCGATTTTTACCAAAGTTCAAAAGTAAACAAATCATGCTAAGCGTCCAATACACATCAACCGGAGAGTCTAATATTCTTTCACAAGTGCGCTGATATTATTTATACCATTTCTACACTAATGCAGTAGTCTGCATAACAGTAAATCTATTTTTTGAGAATAAAAATTCAAAATGGAAAGCAAAAGAATGTAAGAGGGGCATGGGGACGTGACTAATGATCAGAGGAAATGTTATTTTAGTGCCAGGAATGACTTTCTTGTTTATTCTGGACCCTATTTGGAAATTGGCATCTTTTGAAATTTGTGTGAAATTGGCAAAATTGCTAAATTCTGACCGCTGTATTGGATAGTTGAAATTGGTAAATTGGTGGTTTCTTGTACTCGTTCGATAGAAAAAAATGGAGTTCTAGCGAAATAGTTATGATTTTTGTCGACTGGTACATTGGAATTGGCCGAAAATAGGGCTCAAAGTGGGCAAAATTGCCGATGCGTAAACATCGTCGAGACCGCTAACTTCGCGAGAGCATAATTCCGTAAGTTTTCCATCAAATTTCATACTTTTGGTGTCATTATGATTGGGAAAAGATTCTCTATCTTTTCATAAGAAAAAATATTTTTTTTTAAATCTGGGGGACCCTGAGAACAAGTCTCTGAGAGGGCCTGTGGACCCTGAAAGGGTTAAGGAAGGAGCACGGCACCAGACCTGGTAGCCCAAGCTAGCCAGGTCCAACTCGCACCCACCCACACCCCACTCATGTACATGTATTTATCCAACCTATTTTTAAAACTACACAAGGTCTTGAATGTGCGTGGATGTTGTGCGAATGATAAAGAGATGACTGTGGATGTTATGAATGAGAAGCTGGATGTCCTGGCTTTTAGTGAAACAAAGACGAAGGGGGTGGGAGAGTTTCAGTGGGGAGAAATAAATGGGATTAGGTCAGGGGTTTCAAATAGAGTTAGAGCTAAAGAAGGAGTAGCAATAATGTTGAAGGATGTTATGGCAGGAAAAGAGGGAACATAAATGTATAAATTCAAGGATTATGTGGAGTAAAATAAGGGTTGGATGTGAAAAGTGAGTTACAGTAAGCATTTAGGCACCTGGAGAAGAGAGAAGTGTAGAGGAGAGAGAAACTTTGGGAAATGCTGAGTACATGGGGGGGGGGGGGTTTGAACCAAGTGAGAGAGTACTTGTAGTTGGGGATCTCAATGCTAAAGTGGGTAAAAATGTTATGGAGGTAGTAGTAGGTAAATCTGGGGTGCCAGGGGTAAATGAAAATGGAGAGCCTGTAACTGAGCTATATGTAGAAAGAGGTTTGGTAATAAGTAGTACATATTTTATGAAAAAGAGGATAAATAAGTATACAAGGTATGATATAGCACACAATGAAAGTAGTTTGTTAAATTATGTATTGGTGGATAAAAGGTTGATGGGTAGGCTTCAGGATGTACATGTTTATAGATGGGCAATGATATATTGGATCATTATTTAGTTGTAGCAACAGTTAGAATAGGAGGTAGATGAGACAAAAGGAAAATGGCAACAGCAAGTAAGAGAGAGGCAAAAGTGTGAAAAGGGGAAGCTAGGTGAGATTAAGCAGCTATTGGCGAAGGTGGGCTAATGCAAGTATGAGTAGTGAAGGCGAGCGGTTTAATGTGGCAGAAGTTTATGGCTATAGAGAGGTGTGAAAGGGGAAGAGATGATAAAGTAAGGTGTGATAAAGAGAAAAGTAGCTATAGAGAGGTTTTCAAGCAGAAGTGTTATAAGAAGAACAGAGTATATGAGATTAAAGAAAGGTGAAGAGTGTGTGAAAAGAGTCAAAAGGATAGCAGATGACAGAGTTGAGAGGCACTGCAAGAAATTTGATGAAAATAGAAAAAGTTTTGATGTGAGATTAACAAGTTAAAGAGCTAGAGAATGAATGGATTTGTCAGTAAAAACAGAGCAGGGAGTTAGTAGATGGGGAACGGGAGGTATTGGTCGAGGCGGAAATTTTGAGAAATTTTAAATAGTCGATTAGAAGTGAGGTGGTATTTCATGCAATGGCCAGGGAAGTATAACATTTTTAGGAGTAAGAAAGCGATGTGAGTGTGGGAGGTGGTGAGCATTATGAATGAAGAGGGTAAAGCAATAAACTGATGGATAGGGACAGAATGCTAAGAAGCAGGAGTGAGTATGTGTGGAGGTGGTTTGTATTTTGTTATAAGGTACTTGTTAATGAAAGAGGGTAAGGTAAATCTGGGGATTGGCGATGAGATGATCATGGACCCCGGTTAACGAATTTTTTCACTCCAAGATGTCAGGGAGCGACGATGCATAAGAATATTGGAAGTGTTGTCCATTTGACCCTAAACATATAGTACAACGTCACTTCTATTATTACATAATTGTAGGAAGGTAATCGTATGCGGTGGGGTCACTGTTAGTTCCTTTATATAAAGGGAAGGGGGACAAAAGACTGTAAAAATTATAGGGGAATAAGTTTACTGAGTATACCAGGAAAAGTGTATGGTAGGGTTATTATTGAAAGAATTAGAGGTAAGACAGAGTAGGAGTGCAGATGAGCAAGGAGGCTTTAGAGTGGGTAGGGAATGTGTAGATCAAGTGTCTACAGTGAAGCATATATGTGAACAGTATTTAGATAAAGGTAGGGAAGTTTTCATTGCATTTATGGATTTAGAAAAGGCATATGATAGAGTGGATAGGGGAGCAATGTGGCAGATGTTGCAAGTATATGGAGTAGGTAGTAAGTTACTAGATGCCGTAAAGAGTTTTTATGAGGATAGTGAGGCTCAGGTTAGGACGTGTAAGAGAGAGGGCGATTACTTCCTGGTAAAAGTAGGTCTTAGACAGGGATGTGTAATGTCACCATGGTTGTTTAATATATTTATAGATATTATTATTTTTTTTTTATTATCACACTGGCCGATTCCCACCAAGGCAGGGTGGCCCGAAAAAGAAAAACTTTCACCATCATTCACTCCATCACTGTCTTGCCAGAAGGGTGCTTTACACTACAGTTTTTAAACTGCAACATTAACACCCCTCCTTCAGAGTAAAGGTGTGTAAAGGTAGTAAAGTTGAAAGTGAACATAGATAAGAGTATCAAATGATTTAGATAAAGAAAAATTGGATATCACATTGGAGAGAGGGAGTATGGAAGAAGTGAATGTTTTCAGATACAGTGGACCCCCACTTAACGATCACCTCCCAATCTGACCAATTATGTAAGTGTATTTACGTAAGTGCATTTGTACGTGTATGTTTGGGGGTCTGAAATGGACTAATCTACTT